GCACGAGGGCTGATTAAAAAAAAGACCAAGAAAATAGGGCAAACGCCTCCAACACACACGTATACGCAGCACTCAGGAGACCGGCAGCAGGAGCAGACACCGAGGGGAGGACGGTGTGTCGGTGAGGATGTTTGGAAGTAATTACCGCGTGCCAGTGTAACAAATAAAAGGTCAAGCAGTTCGACTTCAATCTGGAAGCCGTGTATCAATTTGCCGTTTTTGCGCTCATTTGCATACAGCCACCTTTAGTTGTCCCATCAACCGTCCCTGAACACATGACAGAGAGAGGGCGGGGCACGCGAGGAGGGGGGAGGAATGTGTGTGTGTGTGTGACAGGGGTAAGACAGCTGTGGGTATAAGCTTGCAGCTGGGTGTATCAAAGTGTGTGCGTACATGTACATGTGTCTGTTTGAGTGACAAGAGAGAGAGAGAGAGAGCGTTTCTGTGCGGTTCGCGCCTCGGTGTCTTTTTCTTGTTGTTTGTTTCTTTGCAGTCACGTGTGTTGCCGTAGACTCGCACCGTTATTGACATCCGAACAGAAATAGTCCCGCTGATCAGTTAGACACGCAGCTTGCAACAGTGGAAAAAAAAAAAAGCTCTCACAAAAGCTTCCACGTGTTTCCGTCCGGATCAAGCCGCAGCACCGTCCCGCTGTCATGTGATGAGTTGAGTAACCGCAGTGTGCTTTGATGCATGTGCAGAGATCATCACAGGGGCGGGACCCTGCATTTAGCCCATCATCATGCTGGGATTTCCAAGATTAAGCGTTGACATGCAGTCGGCAGTGAGAGGTCACTAATACAGTACGTTGAGCAGAGACGACAGGAAAGGTATCTAGATGGCTGCAATTCAATCATTCGACTAACTGTGATGTTTATTTTTACCGATCAATATGTTGATTTGTTTCTTAATCATTATTTGGTCCATAAAATAAATCACATTTTCCTTAAGCCAAAGATGATTTTTACAACAGCCCAAGGTCACAAAAAAATAATAAACTCCCTCACTGACAAAGGCTAGAAGGTTTATTTCCGATTCCACGAGAGAATAAACACCAAGGGAGACTGCAGACAGTTGAGGCATCGCCATGATGACACACCCCTGGGTGCAGAAGAAATAGGTGCTTATATGTCATTCAAACTGCCGTCTGGTGTCACCTGATGAGTTATCCTGTCTGGCAGACCTTCCTGGCTCTAAGAGCCTGATTGGGCCAGGAAAGTGCTCAGCTGTGGGCGTGAAGGTGCGAGAGTGTGTGTGATTTATGCATCTCAAGATGCAACGCTGAATAAGAGACCCTGTGCCTTTCCCTGCACTCGGCTCGAGCAGCGTACAAGAGAAGCTCATCCCGAAGGTCCCCGTGTGGAGGTTAGCACCAGGCTAAATTAGAAGTAGCACTTTCTTTTTTTTAATCAGCGTGCGCAGCCTTGTCATCCATCTTTTTCTATCGAGCCCTGAAGGCTAACTCTCAGTCAGAGTGTCAGGAGGGAGGGCCAGACAAGGCGCGGCTTTAACGGATTGATTAAGTGGGGTTGGCCTCGGCTGTGGTCGTGCTTACAAACGGAGCACGGAGGACAGAATGGACAAATCCGACCCCAAACAGCAGCTCTATAGCCAGAGTCCCCCTGCGGCCGGCAGCGCTGCAATAAACTTCCCAAATGCCAGTTAACTGCAACAGAGAGGATTACTTTGAAGGAGAGCTGTGAGAACCAGCTCATTTCCTTCCTCTCCACTCAAAGACAGCAGCCAGAGGGGAGGCTTTTGCAGCAAAAAGACCAGAGGGACGAGTGAAACCTATCTGACAATCTGTCAGAAAGTTTGGCTGCCAACTTCGCCGTGACTTTGCCCCGGCGCTGATCAGATTAGGTAGTCAGTGTTACTTCATCCTTGTTATCCAATTTCGTTCAATTAACTGTTCCGTATGAGCCTCTTCGCTGTAACAACACCTTCCTATGCTAGAGGCTGCATGTGGCGTGTGGGAAAACAAACGCATTTTAGACAAAGAGGCCTTCATGGCAAAGACACAGCAGCTGAAGAGGCTAATCACATGCAGCGCTAATTTAACAGCCAAGGACAAATACTGGGCAACAATCACATCTCATTTCTCAGGTAGCTCAACCCTGACAAACGATTTGAGGTGATTATTGGATGGGAACAATGGGGTATAAACAACAAGGACGTGAAAATAAAAGGATGAATCATTGAAAGATGCTGCTTTCAACAAGCAACCGTCGGTCTCACAACACCAGATTCTAAGAGTTTGAACATTGAGCGGATTCTCCTTAAAGCTCAAAACCCAGAACTGCATTCATCTCAGCAGAGAATTGCCCAGGGAGCAGAAACACTGTTTCTCAAATTGCCTCTTGAAGTGTCGCTTGATGAAGACATCACATGGACTTTTCCTGTTTTTATAATGGCTTGCTGGGGCATGCAGCACATCTCTTGGTTCACATCAGAAGGGACTCAAGGTTCAGACTCTGCTGTGAACCCACTAACATGGTCCAGTGGGCTCGGAGCACAGCCAGCAAACCTCTCCCGTGGGAGAGATGTCCCTGGATGTCGCTCCATCAGATACACTAAGAAAAGCCACTGACGGAGGCAGCCACACCATAATGTCAAACAACTTGCCGCATGCCTCCTTGTCACCTTTTTAAAATGCAGAATCAGCACTTCAAAGGAGTGTCAAACTATTTTTTGGCAATGTCGGTCTGTCTGTGCACCACTTTTGAGCTATTAGGAGTGAAATTACGAGAAAACGACTGGATGAATTACCATGAAATTGAGTAGACATTCATGTCCCCCTCAGAGTAAATTGTAGGGGTGAGATTGCAACCAACTAAAACTTCTCCCGTGTGCCAAGCATGTAGAACTACAGTGGCTGCCGCAAAAACACGAACGGGCCTAGAGCCTGCGTTTGGGTTGGTTTTAGTAGATAGATGCATTATATGGTAGCAAGTGGTTTGATGCTTTTTGGTGTCTATATACATTTTTAAATAGAGTAAATTATATCAAAAGGTACAGACGATGTGATGTAAAAAACACTCCTCAGTCTGATTGTTATTTTCCTCCACAACCATCCGCCAACCCCTGGGAATTACACCCCCCCCCAGGTTGAGGTCCACTGAGAGCTGGTAGCACGGCTGTAGACGTCTTCTACTGCGTGGCAGACTAGAGATCTCCCAAACTAAGCAAACCCCGACACTTCTGGGTCCATGTTTGCAGAGCCTGGCAGTGAATACTAAAGGAACTCAATAAGTCCGTCACCCTGATGGAGCTGCTGAGGCTTCACCTACTTTGCAATTTGATTCAATTTGCCCCGGCCGATTTGTAATTGCAAACTGGGAAGGGCAATCTGATAAAAATGAATAACATTAGGAGTTGGTAAACAATCTGACAGGGTGTTCAAAATGGCTGAACTGGCGTGACTCAATGTAGTGATGCATGCTTATTACCTCGACAAGCGTGATAGATCTCAAGTCACCTCAAGGGTGGAGGAAAATGAATTGTGATTTATGTGTATGGAAGCAGCCCCGATGCAGAGTTTTATTTTTTATGGGGATTTCCTGGAACTATAATCTGTGAGCCAGGGCGCCTTTGATTTTGTGATATAATCAGTGGAGCTTCTTCCAACAGGTACGAGCCCTCGGGGAGCCTTTTCTTCACTAATGATTTGACATGAAAAGGCAAAGACGGGTTTATGACAAACACCGAAGGGGGAAAATCTTCAAATGCGAAAGTCCCAACGGCGGTGCAGTTTGGAGGGAGGACGAACATGATATCGGACAAAGTGATTCAAGAGGCAGAGATAATGACATTGTGCCTTATTGGACTTTGCAGCCCCTGGCCTTTTTTCTTGTCGTCTAAAATATCAACGCAATGGCAAAACAAATTTAGGGGGGGGGGGGGCTCAGACTTAAAGACGGGATGAGACACTCTGCTCTGCTGCTGGCCCATAATGTGATAAGACTGATGAGGCAGGTGTAACGCTGCATACACATGTTATCTGAGCTCCCATCAGCACTTGTGCTTACTTGAAAAGCGACCCACAAACCCCCTTTCCTCTCCTCTCCAGTGAATCACGCTGACTGCACCTGGATGCAAAAAAAAATTCTCTCTTTCTTTTTCAGGGCGAAAAAAGGCAACCAGCAGGTTCTTGAACAATCTCACTTGCTGAACATTTCCTTATTGTCTTCCTTGCACCCACAGCAAAAAGAAGACAACCCAGAAAAGTGCTGGCTTGGTTACAAGAGTCATGTGGAACACACTCGATCAATATCCACTGACGCCGCTTCGTTGCCATGCATGGGCACTCTGGGAAGAGCTGAAAATATGCAAGCGTAGCCTATGGTGATCAACGTAGGGCACGGTGTGCACGTGTGTCCTCACTTCTCTTCAGAAACAGGAGGAATATAACACAACTAGATCACAAGTCAAATATAGATACACAGAGGGGTGAGATTCAGTGGGGCTGAGCTTGAATAATTCAAGATCATTATACAGTATGAAGATGAACTCTGAATTCGCACGATTTTACTCTTGCATGTTTTATTTAACAAGCTGAAGTGTGAAACCATTAAAATTCTTATATTCTGTCCTCTGGGATCTTAAAGTGAGAACAAATATAAAAAGCAGAGTCCCTTCCTTTAGTTCTTGATTAATGAGTGCACATACAGTATACATCCACTTTGCTGCCGCTAACAAGACATTGTGAAAGACTGTATGATCTTTCTAAAAAGGGGAAAACAACAGTGGCCTGCATTGCAAAACCGATGCAAAGTCGAGGGAAATTCGGATTGAGCAGACATGGGAGACTGGGGGAGTCAGTCTGCACATGCAGGTAAAGGAAACACCCAAACCTCACTGTCTCTGCTTGCACACCTCTAAATGTGCCACAATAAAAGCCACAAAGCAAAGAACTGACAGGAAAAATAAAACACAAACACAAGCAGCTGCGTTATGATGCACAGACAGAAAAAAGCAGAAGAACCACACAGGTAACTTGCCTGGAATGTGTAAAACCTCGTCCCATTCGGTGGGTGCACCTTTGGGGAGTTGGTCCCCGTACTCATGTCTGCGAAAATCATAATCCCTCTTGATGGGCAAACAATCCACAGCTGATCCGTTATTATTAATATTATTATCAGCCAAACGTAGTGCGCTTCACGGGAGAAAAAAAAAAAAAAAAAAAAAAAAAAACGACCCCGAGGCGAGCGCTCGGATCAGCCCCTGACCCGATGCTGCGCTCCCGGCATCAGATGGTGGAGAGCTCCGGTAAAATAAGCAACGCTCCGGGTGAAAGGAGATCCGCGGAAAAAGACAACAAGGCAACTCTCCGGTCTTCTCTCATGCAGACGTCTAGTCTGCGTGTCCTTCAAGCGATTCGGCCGGAGAGCAAAACCCGCGGAGAGACAGCGGCTCCATGGTGTCCCGACGCCCGCTGCAAGCAGCTCTGGCAGCGGCTCGGATGGGTCCGTCTGCGCGCGGATTATCGCCTCCCTCCTCCTCTCGCTTCGCCAATAATCAGTCGCAGCATCACGACGCGGCTCAGCCAACAACACGCCGGGTGCCTCGAGACGCACGTTCGCTCCGTTTTTACACTGTAGAAAAATGCTCTTTCACGTCACGTTCTTTATTGACACAGATGAATAGACACGTTTCAGTGAAGTGTGATTATTTATGACAAAGCTAAACCACAAAACGAAAAGGAATACCTTGACATTAGACTTATTTTTGAGTAAAGACACTATTTGCATTGGGAAAGTAATATTACTACCTGCTACTACTGTAAGTATATTCCGCTTTAGTTGATTACTAAATGATTTGTATGTTGTCGCAGATTTATTTTTTTGCAGTGTAGCTACGTTTTGATTGGAGGAGAAGAGGGATGCGGGAATGTTACCTGTGGAACAAGATGAGAAGTTATCAAAACAGGGCAAATCCTCTGTAGTGGAGTAAATATAGGTCACAAAATGAAAGATTATATATGTTTTTTTGCGGTTAAATATGATCAAACAATGTGAAGTCTTCAGGCTACCATCCATTAATCAAGAGTAATCCACGTTAATCCAATTCTCTGTCCAAACTACCAAAAGAATATTTCTCTTTTTCTTTTCTTAAATTATTTTCTTTGTTCCATTAAACTGGGTGCCGGCATTCAAGTTAACATCTCGATGAGGTGGATTGCGATAATTGGATCAAAAAGCAAAGTCTTCAGCTTTTCTTCATCTAGTTTAGTCGCTATAGGAACGACCCAAGCAGTTCGTGCCGCGGTGTGATTTCGCGTCGTTAGACACAGCTCAGCGAGCTCGATTAAGCCGAGTGGGTTGAACTCGCAGCTCGCCTCGCACTCTTCGGAGGGATTTGGGATTGTGACTTCAAAGTATTTGCTCTTTACATCGCAGGTTAACAGCATTTCGAGCTGTGGAGCAGCGGATCCCATTAACCAGAGGCCGCTCACACTGACTGCACTGTAAAACCAAGTATTCGCTGTGGACTCACCCACACGTGTGTGAGGATAAGGTAAGAGTCCAGGAACAATGATATGCATTAATTAAAGGAACGGGCCTCAAAAGTGTCAAAATTCATCTTTTCTTTTGTCCTGTATATCTTTTAGAGAAATGCATGCTGGGAACTGAATTGCTACCCACGATGGTGCCAGGAGAGAGCTAGGCAGAGACGCACCAGATGTGGTCCAAAGTACAGGCATCTGATTGGTTTGAAATGTGGCGGCAGCTCAGTGGGCAGCAAAGCTGGCTTCAGCCTCGTCAGCAGAAAATGCTCAGTGACGTTTTTTTTTGTTTTTACATCCATGTACAATATATTCTTCTTCCTTTCTGCACATGGCAACGACTGTATGGTTAGGTTGGGGACAGATGCTGGTTCTGGCGAATACGTTCAGGGTATGACACAAACAGAAAACATGGTGGTTACAGTTAATAAATGAACTGGTCTGTGACAGGACACAAACACCGGTCTCCTGCATTAAAGTCTGACATGTGACACGCCCGTTACTTTCCTCTCTGCCAAGGTGCATTTGGCGCTAAACGTTGGTACTGGACTTGTATCGTACGAAAATCATCCAATATGCATGGATGAGATGGGATACTGACCTCACCAACTGATAATTGATTTTTGCACAGAAGAGGATTGAAACCAAGGGATGTCTGGAACGGTAAGAAACACACATTCAGAAACTATTCTAATACTTTACTTCAATGTCCGTAGCACATTTTTATACCTTTTAATTGATAAATATGGGGGTATGGGGCCGATTTGATCTTTCCTAAATAAAGTTTTCTAGTCTCAGAGGTCCTTTTAAGTCAAAAACATAATTTAGGGTTTTCTCAACATCTTAGCAAAAGAGTATCAATACCAGACATGTAAGGAGCTCAAACCTCCAAATACACTGCTGTGTTCATTTAAAGAAATCAATGTGTTCAATTTTACAGACTCGCACTGATAATGATGTTCAGTTCAAAAAAAGAGCATTGCTATCGTTATACTGGGAGGAATTGGAGGTATTATTATGAGTTTCAAAAGAATAAAAAGGATAAAGCAGCAACGCCTTTCTTGCACAACGAAACCTTGTCTACTGTATGAACATTCTTCTGCTACTTTGTGTCCTCCTCACTTGCAACAATCTGTGCACAACCCGCTGCAGCATCACGACAGAGCAGGACTGAGGACGTGCAGGATCTTTGCCATCAGGGGCGACTAAGCCCTCCTGCACATCAGTCACATAAAAGGGACTGGCCTGTGTGCTGCAGTGCACTGGACTCTGACGTCATGGTACAGATGTGCAGTGGGCATGGCTTAGTGCTTCTGAGTGCTCATTGGCTGGAGCCTCTCAATCCTCTGATCGACACCACTCTTTGTCTTTCAGCATATCCCAAAGCTGGCAAAGCATCGCAGACGGAGAATCAGATATGAGTCACGAGACCAATACAGTTAAGGAATGGTTTTTGAATTCATTAAAGCGGGTTATTGTTGAACAAATTAAACAGCATGCTTGAATTTTTGAAGTCGGGTATAAAATAAAATTATATTTCTAATTAATATTTCATCAAAGTGCTTATTCGCATTGGTCCCAGTGAGGCAGTTTGTGCCAGCGCAGAGACTGTGTTCATTAAACCAACACCTGAGTGCCCATGTGCTCTCATGCAGGCCTGCACGTCTCCTCACATGCATCCCCCCTTTCCATCCAAGTCCCTTAAGAAGAAACACACACACACAGTCCATTTCCATCAATCAAAGAGCTCAAATAAATAGATTTTTGGGTTTGAAGGCCTGCGTTTGTTCAGTCCGCGCTCCTAATCTACGACGCCTGCTCCAGCCTTCGACAGACAGATCGGACAGTATAGCAGTGCTCATACATAGATCAGAGATTTGAGAAGCGTCCGTGTTTTACATTTGCGGAGCAATGCTGATGTGCATTTCGGTAGGATTGTGTGATGCTGCTCAGAGAGGTCTTGTCAGGGAGAGATAAGAATTCCCCCTATGCTGTCGAGTGAGAACACATTTAACACTTAGCAATGACCCTTAGCAATAATAAAACAGGAGTATGAGGCCACACATGACGGCTACCACGGCTGTAACCTGAGGATGTGTATTTAAATCACACGTTGTCATTTCACCCTGCGTGTGTGTGTGTGTTGGTGTGTGTGTGTAAGTGCGACAAACACACTTTCTAAGCTTGTGACAGATTACTTTGCTGCGAGGCTGTATGGCCAAACAACCACTTAAACTGCAAATGAGCTGCAAACAAGGAGCACAAGAGTAACATTTTGTCATTCATAGAGAGGATTTGTCACTATTGCAAGACTAAAACAGTGCCGAGCACTGAAGAGATGGGCCGGCATTAAGCAAAGTGGCAGACTTCTGCAGCCTTGACTAAATTATTTTTATGTTTTAAAAATGCAAATCAACATGACTGAAACAAGGTCTCCTTTTCTTTTTTTTGCGGTGAACACAACAGAAACGTCAAATTAATTAGAGACATGAAATACTGGGGACAAATGAGATGACGGAAAGCAATTATTTTGTGACGAGTTATGAGAGGCTGTCCTCCTGACATGCAGACGAAAAATACAAACGTGGAACCCGAACTGTGAAATGGAACAAAAGCTGGGGGGGAATATGGCAGAATAAGTTACCATGAGGAACTTTTAACTGGTTATGAAACAGTCTCAATGTAATACCAATGCCTCAATATGACCTTCATAAGTAAACACCATCAGCGAGGAGATTTCTTTTCATCGGTGCAACCAGGTCCAGCAACATCTGACGAAATCATGCAGGTTCACCAGAAGCTTTTTCAGCTTAGACTCCAGCGGGGCCTCACGCAGCGACCAGCCCGCCACAGACAGACGCACTTCCGGCTTCGCTGCTGTCTGCGACCTGCAGTCGGCAGCAGCAGCTCCTCCTGCTTCGCCTCGCTGCTCCGCCGGTCCCCGCTGGGAGCCAACACCGACACCATGCTTGCTGGAGACCCAGGCCGTATTGCTGGGCCCGCTGGAGGGAAGGGAAGCACAGGGGAACCAGAACCAGGACTGCTCAGGGCAGACTGTCAGACCCTGCTGCAGTATTTGAGAGGTTTTCTAAAAGGGACTCTGGTGCTCGGAAACACTACTGCAAAATCCACAAAAATGCATTTAAAACAAACCTTGTGTACGATGACACATTGCCTCAAAAATAGCTTTAATGTCTCTCTACGTGAATATAAATAGTGAAGCTCATCCAACAACCTTTCATGGAACTACGGCTGTAACTAATGATTATTTCCATCACTAATGAACCTGTCGTTATTCTACTACAGTTGATTGATCAATTAGTTTACAAAATGTCCAATTACAAGTCCCCAGATCAGATGATTGCTTCAAATTGCTTGTTTTGTTCGGCAAAACACCACAAAACTCAAATACATTGAATTTACAAAGATGAGATTAATTAAAGGCATACCAGATGTTAATTAATTTTCTGTCCATCAACCAAACGTTAAATGAAATTTAGCAGTAAATAGAACCTCCAATCACATAAAAATAATGGGTGCAATATTCATCGGACATCATTGTTATGACATGGCTCATGAAGTGCACTGAGAATAGATCAATAGCACACGGCACTGATTTAATGTCGCGCTGCTGTTGTCTCCATCACAGGTTGCTGTAAATAGCGCAGCTCCAGAGGCAGCTCTCCCCTCGCTTTGGCTGCACATGTGATATGCGGCACATGATGAATCACTGTGGGACCGCAGGATTGGGGAGATGGTGGCATGTTAGAATTAGCATGCTCTGTTGACAGCATGTCTGGCACACACGGCGTCGAACTCGCGCGCGCACACACACACACACACACACTCTCTCAACAAGAGACACGGCGAAGCGATGTTGTCATGTGCTGTAGTGCCTACTGTATTACAGAGCTCCCCAAAGAGTGCGACTGTCAGCCGAAGCCGAAGTGGCAAATCTGCACTCATCCTCTGGGTGTGGAATCAGATTACAGAGGGAGAGACGAGGATATAAGAGCATCAAGAGCAGGCTTCACTGTATCTCCACACACTTGTGAAGAAATAGGACATTGTTGAGGACAAATCATTGAAGAAAAGTGTTTGCTCGCTGCTCGGATTGTCCTGAAAGTTTTGTTAGGAATGCTTGTGGTTCTCTTTCCCATCCTCTATGTAACTGTGTATTACAGTTCAGTCTCCAGCTGAAGGGCCCCTCCAGGGGTCCACAACACTGCCACCTTCCATTATCACACTTGTCGCTGCCTAATTGGGTCTTCCTTTCCACCGGCTGTTATTAGCATCAAGAATATAAATGTTTGGTGTTTTTTTCCCCCAAATATTGAAGTGCTCTTAAACACAATTGAGCTTTTGATTGCTATTGGGTTTGTTTTTTAATTGCCTTTGCTTTGATAATTAGAGAACGACACCTAGTTCAAACGTCTCAACTGGTTTGTTGTAATATCTGCCAGCTCGAGGATCTCGCAAGATTACCAAGTAACACGAGTCCCGCCGGATCTGCAGGTGTCGGTAAAGGTTGCGCGTCCCTCCCCCGCGCGGAGGCTTCTCGGAAAACGGGGGTCTGAAGCAGAGCCGCAGTGGAGGCATTTACATCGGGTCAACAGTCATGTGTGGGCAGACAGCCGTAATGGACGCCGCTCCGGTCCTGTCACTGCTGAAACATTAGAGAGCTGTTGTCAGGGGGCACAGTGGGAGTGTGTGTGTGTGTGTGGGTCGATAAGATGTGACTCAAGGGACAAAATGGTGGTGGAACTTCAAAAAGGCCCGCCTAACAGTCGCATTATCTGTAATTCAATATGATAATCGATGTTTTGCAAATTGCATATGTATGATTTTGGAGTTGTATCTGTAAATATGTTCCTGTAATGTATAAGTACATGCAAGAAGATTTTCAAATTCTACTTTCTATGACTTTAGCCTGTTGTGCTGTTGCAGAATACGGTGTTACAGTCATTATAAAACGCCCCAATGACTCACAAGAATGTACAAAAAAAAAATATCTGCTTATGTATGAGGAAAGATGCTGTGCCCTGAGGCCACAGAGGCCACAGTACAGCACATACAGTGGGAGAATAAGCTGGCAGAACAGGAGGAGCTGGAGGCTGGCATGCTGGCAATGGCGAGAAGTATAGCCGTTTTGCTGCATATGCAGATTTGTGAAAACAAAGTTCAGCAACTGAACATAATATCTACACACACACACAAACACTAGAGACCTCGTACGTCAGCGGCTTCGAAGAGCAGTGAGGTCAGCCAGTGAGGGACTCAACTGTGTACAGTCTGCTCATCCATGAACACATGCACAAGCTCACAAGCACGGATGTAAACAAGGCAGGTCTCAAATTGTAAAAAATATATTAGCTTTGCATATTTCTTAAGAGGAAGGAAATGAATTCAACATTCAACAGGTTTGTTGGGCATTAAAAGGCTCTGTATACGACATTCAGAGCATTAATAAAGCAGCAAACCATTATGGCGCTGCTAGCACTGTTAGCTGCTAGCACTGTTAGCTGCTAGCCGCTGGCTCAGCCGTTGTCACGTTGGGAGCTGTGTGCGCTCTGAATTCCATATAGAGCTCCTTTAAAGATACGCACAAAGCTTTTTGGTGAGGAACAGAACTATAACTCTATCGCCACACTTCCTCTATATCCCTTTATCTTTCCACTTCAGCTCTCTCTCCCACACCTCCTCTGACTGCATCTTTCATGTTCTAGTCCTCTGAGTCCGCTGCCTTTTGTCTATGTGGTCATTTTAAAGCTCCGACTCATGCAGTCTTTTTCGGTTGCTGTGTGATTTCTTCCAAGCGATAGGCGGATGATGAAATCCAAGGGACCATTATTTTCCATTTTTGAACCGCAAAATTTCAAAGCGGGTTGTGTAAGACATCAGCGCCACGAGGAAGAAAGGAGGAGATTGATCCATTTTAGTGACTGAGGCAGCCTAACTCATTGTACTGCTTACCACCCTCTGGGAAATTCCGAGTCCTCTTAACAGTCAAGATGTTTTCAACAAAGCTGTACAGGAAGCTGAAACAGCCTTTGACATGTTTTCCCTTGGAAGTTTGTCACAAAGAGGAGATTCCGTCAGTTGGTTGTCATATGAAAATGCCGTTATGCTATAGAGTATTGCCAATATAAAAACAGGAAATGGGGCTCCTAGCTTGAGTGCAGGAAGGAGGTTTCACCGTTGAGGTTGACTGAACTCTTGATCCCACTTCAACCATGACTGACAGAGGATGCCAAAGAACAGCGAAATGTCTCGACCATACACGTTCCAATGTTCATCCACTCCTCGGGTTTCTAAACCCCTCTTTCACTCTCTACCTTTTCATGCAGTAAGCTCACATTTTATGTAAAGTTCAAACTGAATTAGCTTTTAAAATCCTAGAAACTATGGATACAATGGATGTTTTGTATATGTGTAAAATTCAGGTTCAACTGTGATGCTTAAGGTGCATTTAAATGAGATCATGATTATTTCCCACAAAGTATTACGAAAAAAAATGTCTGTGAAAATGTTTTACTGATAGCAAAGCTGGACATTTTGTTTTGGCGATCCACAACCAGACGATGGATATTAAAATCAAGCGCATGAAACAAGCTTAAAGTTGAATATTTTAGAAACAAAATGCTGTTTTGTTACCACGGAGAAAGATGTCTGTTTTCGCCGTGGCCCGATCGTACCTCGTACTGTATATTTAGCTCTCTCCACACTACCACTGGTGACAGTGATTTGTTTGCTCATACATGAAATAACACAGACAGACGATTCCCGGATGCTCTCGGAGAGTCCATCGGGAAAGTAATCAAACCCAGAGCGAGCGGATAGAGCGGCGAGGCAGGTTTTCAATCATCCCCAAGCGAACTAGCGTTGCATTACAACAATTTGGCTTTTTGGCTGTCCCGGTCACGTGCGCTCCTTGTGCTCAGCAGTTCTAAAGAAACATGCTGATTCGGGTATATGAACTGCCAATCATTATTATTCTCAGTGTAGTTATTCATGTGAATACACTGACTGCTATTGTCTTTAAGGAAAAAAGAAGCAGAGGAAGTCAAATCTCTGGATCGTCCAGCTTCTTTCTCCTCTGTGCTCTGCACACGAACGTGAATCTGCTCATGGATCAATAACTAACTGTAAATGTTAATTAAAAAGTCCTATTGTATCTATAAGAGTAAACAAAAGACAGTGAACTTAAGAGGTTATGTTTTAGCAACTGTAAGAAGGTCTTGTGGCTAACTGGTAGCATCTTTATCACAGGAAACATTGTCTGCACAGCTCAAAGCTGCTGCACACTGCTTTAATATCGATGCATTTCGTCCTGGAGAATACATAACAACAAACACGTTAACACGAGGGAACGTCTCAATGTGCTTTTTAAGCACCACAACACTCCTACTTTAAGCAGCTATTTGGATGTTTGTGCATGATAATAAAAAAAGAAAGTCATACATAATGGCTGAGTCACAAAATGAAGAGCTTCAATGCGAAACCGCCCACCTCTCTTTCTTGCAAGTTGGCCGTGCATTCTTATTAGAATATCCTGAAGCTTTTTCTGGATGCAAAAAAGCATCTTTGTAACCACACAGAGAAACTGTAAAACTACATCTAACCGACTGACGTGTGTGTCATTTGTGTGACCTACATACAATCTTTAAGTCGCATGCTCTGAATTAACGTACTCTCCAAAAATGTTTTCGGGCAAAATGTGAGGAGAATTTGGGTCTGCAAACAGCATCAGCAGCTCAGGAATATAATAACGATGATGTCAAACATTGCATCATTCATGCATGTGTGTTAGGTCAGTGTTGTCAGTGGGAGTGTTGGCCCTGTGTATGATGAAGAACATTGTTGCAAGGTTCCAAAGGGAGCTCGACTCTCTGTTTTTCAAACACCACGTTCACTTGTACCTCCTGATAAAAGCACCAAGATGCATTTAGATGAATTACACA